TCAAGAAAATCATATTTGGTCTCTGCGATTGGATAATATCTGCCAATTCCTGAATTGTTCTTTTGTTACCCAACCCGTGACAATTCCAACTAACAAGACTCATCTTCCACAAAAGAGAAGAAAAAACGCCGACCGCTGTGATCCTATGATCACTCGTCGGAAAAATCGGCCGAAGCCGCCGAACCCACAGCCAAAGGCCGCCGTCGGAAAACCTAACTCCTTATTTAATTGGCATTCCTTGTTTTGGATGTTTGATTTAATTTAATTTTGTTTTGTTTTGTTTAATTGGGTCAGGTCTGTTTATTATATTGTTATATATAATGAAAGTTTATTATATTGTTAATAATGAACCTATTAGATGTACATATTATACAAATGAGTTTATGTTATATTCGAATGTGTATAACGATTAAAAGAAATGAGCATACACAAATTAATATTTGAATACATTAGAGAATTCAAAGACGCTTTTGAAATTTTTTATACTTATTTGGGAAAACTGTCAAATAGGTCCTCGAACTTTCATAAAAAAGTCAATTAAGTCCTTCTATAGGAGACTCTGTCCGGTCGTCGCGATTTGGGGTGGTTCCCGGTGGAATTTTTTGATGAAATTTTTTGAACATCTTATTCACCAAGTCTAGTTTACTCATACCAAATTTCAGCTAAAATTTTAATCGGGAGCGCATTCAAATTAATTCGAGAACGCAAAAATGCGCAGTTATCTTCAAGAATTAATTTGAATGTGTTCCCAATTGAATTTTTAGCTGAAATTTGGTATGAGTAAACTAGACTTGGTGAATAAGATGCTCAAAAAATTTCATCAAAAAATTCCACCGGAAACTGCCCCAAATCGCGACGGCCGGACAGAACCTCCTATAGAAGGACTTAATTGACTTTTTTATGAAAGTTCGAGGACCTATTTGACAGTTTTCCCTACTTAATTTAAAGTTACATATGATCATCTAGTTTTAGTTTTATGCTCAATTTAAAATCTTATACCCCGGAGTATCTTCTATTATACAAAAGCAAGTGGAAAAAATGAACAGTATTCCCGCCCAAATACTGTACAGTAATGGGCCGGGTCAGTGTTGGCATGGGTGAATGACGGGTCTGATGGCAGCCCAATGCTATGTTTTAATGCTTGCCCAACATTCAATGCTTCAATTGTGTGGCTCAAGACAAACCATTTAATGGTAGCTGCTTTTATGAATAAAAAAAGAATTTAAGTTGTACTTTTAAAGTTGGGAAGCCGGGTCGGTTGTATTGCATTTTACAACTTCTGTGGTTAACATTTTACAGCATTAAATACAAATCCCAGCACCCAATAAAGCATTGTGAGGCTCAATAAAAAGGATATGTAGAGGACAAATTCAATATTAAAAAAAGGCTGCATATGTCATTTCGAATTAATTGGTATGTACTAAAAAATCTTTTAATGTCCTTACACATCCGCATGCATTAAATAAATGGAGATATGTAATTAAAGCTCTCATAAAAAGTTCAATGTATTGCTTGAGCTCATTTATTGTTTGTACTACAAAATCTTTAGTAAAGATTTAGGTTCAATGGACCATTGGTTATAAACCAATTTACTTTTAGAGGACACTCCATTCTGCCCCTATAAATACACTCAAAATGGTTGCAAACCACACCACCACCAAGCACTTCATTTCATCTCACAACTTCTTCATAGCATTCTATGGCAGTCAATACAGCAAGGTGTCATTCATGATGAATAGGTATAACATATCTCAAAAACTGTTTCAAGGTAATATATATGCAAATGCAGTTTAATGTGCAAGCCTGATAATGTTCATCTAAGATTAACAATTATATTTAACTATATATTTGCATGGAGGGCTGACCTATGCTACACTAAGAATGCCACATGTTGTAATTCAAGTAAAAAACTGTTAGTGTGTTTAGGCGTATGTTATGGGTACAAAAGTGTTTAGACTGTTTTGTATACAAAAAGATAATTTTTTTATATATATGTCACTGATTATCATTGCAGGTTCCAAGCATTCAAGCAACATCATTTTTGGAGATCTTTTGATTACCAATTGGCATTTTTTTTTACAGATTACGTACTTTTTTAAAAGCCCAGGAAAAGCTGTGAATGCCACAACTAACATCTAAAACAGAGTGATTATTTGAAAACTAAGGGATTGTAAATTACTTATTCAAGTGTAATACATATATGTAAGTATAAAAAATCAGGAATGAAAAATATGTTTATTCCATATGATCGAAAGAAATCACATGTGTTATTAAATTATATTCAGCTATTAGTGTATGATGATTAGCCCAAAATGAACATAATTGCATATTTTAGTGTAAGATGATTATCCAAAAAATAAACATTACTGAAATAATAAAATGATATAGTAATGAGATTCATACCTGCCTTTGAAACAGAAATTCTGCACAGTATTCCCACTCAAAAATTGAACCAGATTCAAACATTAATGATGAACACAGTAAGACAGAGGGTATGTTTTGAAATATAGATTCATTTTAGCTCAAAAATAATATTGCTTATTACATTTATATAGGCAGATTTAGTCAGCAGTTTATTTGAGAAACATCCTTACTTTGGTGGGATTTAAAAGCAAAGAGTTGGACTTGAAAGTTTAGAGGATGAAGATCATACCTCAGAATTTGACAATGGAGAATCCCTGAAATCCCTAATCTTAACTAATTAATAATTAAATTTGGGCACCTTATTCAGTTCCATGATCCTACGAATTCACATTTTATAAAAAAAAAAAAGCTCCACTTTAAAAATATAAACAATCTTTTTGGATTAGATCTGCAATATAAAAGATGATATCATGTTAAAATGCATCTCAATTTGGATCACACATAATACAATCGTATTTTTGTTTAAAGACCCTTATGTTTTTAAAAATAAAGTATGTTAGATTAGTATTACACACTATAGTTTCAAAACACTTTACAGAATTTTTTCTTTTAAATAAGCATAAGAAATTGAGTTATAAATAGAGTAAATTAGGCAGAACTAAGGTATTAAACGCTACGGTATGTTAACCTGATCAAATTTCACTTCGTATTGTTGAAAAGTTTATTCAAATTTATTACTCATTCATCTTTTAATTAATACAATGTATTTGGTCTTTATAGGAATACTATTTTCATATACAAAGTTAATGAACGAAGATAGGTCTAATAAACAAGGTTTCTTTATAAGAGAAGTTTTGAATTTATTAAAGTGGTATAGCTAATATATACTAATATATATCTTAAAAGAAGTTTTTAGATAGGTCTAAACATTAGGAGGTTGACAAAATCAACCAATATATACTCTTAAAGATGAATTGAAGACATTCTTAATGAAGGTGTGATGAAGTTTTTCTATTGGGATACTGGCAGCCCTATGGTCAAGTGCCAAAAACACTAGAAATCACTTATTGGGCATGACAAAGCATTATTAGCTCATTAAAACATTGTTCATAACAATTCCTATTAAAATAGTTTGAGCAAAAACAGTATTCGGCTTCACAAACAAGTACGAATAAACAAAAACTTTTTCAATAACAATGTATTTAAGTACTTTAATACAAAAAGAATTATAATCATAATCAAAACCTTTTAATTATATACTACTGAAATCGGCTTCAACATAACAGGCTCATCAAACGGAGGGGAAGACCCAAATATTTGTTTAATGTGTAAAGCCAATTTTTCATGAGACAAAATTTTCAATAAATCTCAATATTTAGAGATAATAGTACGTATTTGTCACTCCAAATAACAGATTTATTTTGCCAACACCTATTTAAAAAAAACATGTTCATCGGTCATCAAACATAGATCGGATATTACGACAGATCTGGCCACCAAATGGTTAACCGACGGGATTTTTTTATCCTCGAACAATAGAGAAATCTACATATTTGGAGATTTTTGTAAAAAGTTTCAGATTTTATGCATTCCAAAAAGTAGAATTTGCTCAAAGAAATGAAGAGAACACTCGGTCAAATGAAAAACATTAAATAATGAAAACAGTACACATTAACAGATGATAAGCATAAAAAGGTTTGAGGACAAAATTTTAGCAAAGAAAATATACCAAACCATGACAGGGAGACAACGGACAAGCATTTCGATTTGGTCAGACGAGATGCCAAATTCACAGCTGATAAGCGGTGCTCAACATCACGTCTATACACTCAACCGACCTTTTCATACAGTCGGCAAACCCGTAATAATGAAAGACTAGATGAAGGAGTAGAGGAGGGAGTAGCTTATGTACGGAGTTTGAACGGCGATGCAAAAAAAAAACAATACCAAGACGGAGATGTAAGGGATATACCAAATTTCAAAAGCATAGTGAGATATGGTCCGAGATTCATCGATCTGCTCTCAGCCACCGTCAAGGTATGAGAAGAGGAGAGGCTATCTGATCTCTTTAGATGGGTTGTACGGATAATGATAATGGCTAATAGGAAATTCTTAGGTTTTGCCAATTGGGCCAGTTTAACTGGGCTCGGCTCCTATGAGCTGATAAAAGAAAGGGATTGTGTGGTCTATCCAAAATGTGACTCATTAGTTATTATTGTATTTTTGGAAGAATTAGTTATTATTGTTAATAAGTTTAGGATGCATATATACTGTAAAAAAAAACAGAGGTATTGTATTATTGTAACGTCAGTATGTTATTTCGTAAAAGTTCTATATATGCTCAATTGAAATATTTTAAACTGCCTATATTTTTTTGGAAGGTTTAAACTGCCTATATTGTGTAAATAGAATGTTGAGATACACCTAAATAAAACTAATAATAATAATAATAATAAATCTTAATGTCATAATAATATTAAAAATATAAATAATTATTATTATGGTGGTGATGATAATAACAATTACAGAATATATTGTTATTATTTGGAAGGTTTATTATTATTTGTTATTTTATTGTTTTAGATGTAATAGTTATTGCACTCTTATTATTATTATTATTATTAAGATAGTTAAAATATCTTAATATATTGTAAATATATTGTAGTTTATAAGTAAGCTTTTTTGCAATGTGTAGATTGTAAGACTCTATATAACATTTCGGCTTTTCTACTTATTTCAAAACATTCTTACTACCTATCTCTGAGTTTTCACTATCCGATCTTTAATTATGATTTATTAGGCATGTTATGTCTACGACAATTTGCATGCATTTCACACAACCAAGTAATATTTACAAATAATATCATATTGTTATTACATTTTAATATCCCGCGCATCGCGCGGGTGAGAATCTAGTTAATGATGAAAGTTGATCATATACGAACTCCGTTATACTACTATGATACGGAATTACGGAGTACTTTTTAATTCAAAACCGCGAAATAAATAAGATTCTTCACTTTCGACGACCAGCCCATCGCAGAGCCGATCCCTCCCTTCCGTGAATTCCCTCCCATTCTTCTCTTCTTTGTCCTGCCCTAGAAGAAGCGTAGGATCAGCGGAGCTCTTCCCCGCCAGTTTCCGGTGTGAAGCTTTGGTACGGTAAGTTCAAAAGTTCCCTGATTCGATTATCGATTAGGCCGCTAGGGCTGTACTTTACGAGATTGTGAGCTTAATTATTTGTTCTAGTTTAATACATATTTTATCTTTAACTAAAGTTTTGAAACTAAATGGAGGTGTGCTGTGCGAATTGGTAAAAGCAGAGGCGGATCCAGGATTTCATGTTGGGGTGGGCTGAAAGACTTAAATGATAATACATTGAAAATTTTCAAAATAAGCAAAAAATAAAATATACTGTACTACGCAAGAGTTTTCTCCTAAATTTGTTCTCGATGAGGCTTTGAAACAAAAAAATCGTCAACAATAAAGTCTACATCTATACTAAGAGTAAGGTCTTTTTTATACCAAGAGTAATGTCTTCTTCAATATAAAGTGTCATGCAATCAGCAAGAAAGCCATCATTCATTTTGTTGTCGAGTGTTGTCTTTAGAAGTTTCATGAGAGAAATGATTGTTCTGCTATTGCAGTAGAAATACTAAGATCAATAGAAGGCCAATCAATTTGCTTATCATAACATATGAATCAGATGTTCTGCTCTTAGTCAACTCCTCACATAATTCAACAAGTGTACATATTTGAAACTTTGTATGATTAATCGCATCATGAACATAGTGTTGCAGCTCGAATTCCAAAGCACAAATATATATCCTGACTACTAAAATCTTCTGGATAAAACTTCCTTGCAAGAGTACAAATAACATCGACATTGAACGACTCATATGAATTTTGGGATCTAATGATACACTCAAAGAAAGGAATTCCACTGATTTATCATTAAATCGTGTCCTTAACTTCATCAATACAAAGTTTAATGCCTCATTGCAAACATCAAAGTGATCGATAAAGATGCTCAACTGTAGTTTCTTTTCGGCAATGACCAACCATATATTTAGAATTCAACTCTGGTACATGAATTTTGTGTTTTGAGTAAAACTCTTTTACTTCTTTAAGAAAGCCTCTCCATCCATTTTCTGTCGATTCCCCGAGAATGAGGTGTAGTAGAAACATGTCTCATGGATACCAAGATATCCAATTTTTTTGGAGGCCTTACAAAGAATACTCATTATTCCCATAACTTTGTGCATCAAAAGTAAGGATATTTTTACTTAGACTGTAATTTGTCCCAGACCAGACCAGACTTGGGTAGTTATAAAAATGCAAAGAAATCAGACCAGACCAGACCTTATCAGACCAGACCAGCAAATTACAGTTCAAGTAAAAACATCCTAAATTGAACACAAATCAAAACATGGATATTAAAGTGTCTATATACACTACAAACTTCTGCCTGAGAACTCACTTTTGGGCAAATTTCCTGAAGATACTCAAGCACTTTACAAGTTGTTGTGAACATGCCAATCAAGCTCTTAATTGAATCATATTTTATTGTATTTATTATATTTATGGCTTATGGGCTTTATGGCCCCTTCTACATATATATTAAGTGCCACTTATTAAGTGAGGGGTGATACATATAACATTTAGATTAGATTTTTAGATGGTAAGATTTTGTTTTATGGGACTAGGCTGAAAATTTTGACTGGGCTATAGAAAAAATATAGGGGTGGGCTGAATGGATTTTTTTAAAAATAATACCTTTAAAAAATAATTTTTTTCTACTTTGCCCTGGGCTTCAGCCCACCATAGCCCTAACGTAGATCCTCCCCTGGGTAAAAGTGTAGCTTTCAACAGTTTAGTTGAAAGTGTAACTTTCCTTTGCCTTGATTCTAATAGATTTACTTCGTATGGATTTGTGCGAGAGCATTGTGGAGATTCTGATTTCAATGTGTTGTGGATTTTTGGTTGTGAAATAATGGGCTTAGCTCTCTGTCTTTCACTAGGCAGAATAAATTTCATTACGCAGAATGCTGGTTTTGTTGGTAGGTTATTGTATTTAGGAGCTATAAAAACAGGCTAGGCTTCTGTTAATGCAAATTCTGGTATTATTGACTGGACATGCCTGCGGTGGTGATTCCTTTAAGGTCACCAATTTATTTACCGTTATGGTTGTTTTTCCTCCTGCTCAACCACTTTATCCATGTGGGTGATACTGTGATCAATTCTATATAAATTATTTGCCTACGTTACTCGTGTGGCATACTTAATTTTCCGTGGGCTGAATTGCTGATATTTTTGTGTTAACTAGTTTGATTTCATTTTGAGTTTGTATCTAGCAAATTTTAGTTGATTTTAATGCTGAGAATCCACAATTGCATTATTGCTTATATTTTCCATTCACATTTTTCAGAGCATCTCAAAAGTTAATTTCTAGCAAATCTCTCTCTTTTTTAAGTGTGGTACATAGAAGTTAATTTCTTTTCTTTTGTGTGTGTCAGTATGTCAGTGTGTGTGTGCCAATTCAATTTTTCACAGGGTCTGATCATCAGAATTCAAAATTTTCACGGGGTTTGAATTACTACTGCTATTAATGTTTTGCTAATTGTCTGTGCGTCTCTGTTTAGTTACTGCTGAATTGTTTTGATTTAGCTTGTGTGCGCTCATATATAAACGGAGTAGTTAACTTCATTGGTAATTGTTATATAATGACACATCAGTACATGGGTTTTATTCAGGTTCTTTTCCTTTTTCAGATATTCTTATTTAGAGAGAAAAGCATGTCTGAAGAGGGAAGAGTGCATCCTGACTGTCAAAATGCATCAAATCCTTATCACGAATGCAGTGAGTACTGCTTCAAGATAATCGCTGAAACAAAGAAACGGATTAAGCAAACAGAAACAGGTCAGCGTCATATAACATTTCAATAAGTAGTTAATATATTGATCTGTAGTGATTAAACCTCATCCCACATTAACTGATATTTGTTCTGTATTAGTTGTGTGTTCATATACCTGTTAGTCTGTTACAACATAAGATAATGTAATTGCCATCAAGGTTTTAAAGGCTAGTTCGGGTATAGAGGCGGTTAGTTCAAGAGATGCGTGGCATAAGCCTTGAGGCGTGTTGAGACGTAAGCCTCAAAATTTACCCACAAGTAAAAGTGTAAAACTTAAGATAGTTAAACTAGTAATAACCAACTATAGATATGCATAATAAAAGTCCAAAAAGTTTCAAATACAAACACATATGATCACATAATCAAACACAATAACTCAAAATGAGAATTTAAACACAAAACAAACACATCACATAGATGACAATTTGAAACTCTCAAAGCTTAATCATGACTGGAGGGTCTTCGGAAGAATCATTATATATTTAAGGGAAAATGGAAACTAATAATCCAACCTTTTAGCGATCTTCTTTTAATAGTCCAACCTTTTCGTTATTCATGAATAATCCAACCTTTGCACCTCATCTTCATTCATTGGTCCCCGACCGATTGATGACCTGCTATTCCGAGTTATTTTCTCATCTCTCCAAACTATTATACCATAAATTCTACCTTTCACAAAGATAATATTTTGCAAAGATAAGAAAATAACTTGGAATAGCAGGTCATCAACCGGTCAGGGACCAGTGAATGAAGATGAGGTGCAAAGGTTGGATTATTCATGAATAACGAAAAGGTGAGACTATTAAAAGAAGACCGCTAAAAGGTTGGATTATTAGTTTCCATTTTCCCTATATTTAATATTTATTTATATCTTATAGCCTTCTCACCGTCATCCCTTCTGTCATCACTATCATAATCTTTAAGTAATTTCTCTTCTTCATCATCATTTACCTTCATTACTTGTTTATTTTTCTTATTTTTGGTTACCCATCTGTTTCTTTGTGCAGAAGTGTGAATAAGTTTTAACGACACACGGAATGCTTAATAGGGGCTATAGGTTAGAGTTTAAATGAAACAAGACTTGTTTGGGTTTAGTGTAGACATGTGTTTCATGTATGAGCCTTTTATTAAATAAAAAACACTTCCTTTTTAAGCTACAAGGCTACAAGCACATTAAAAAGATAGAAGAAAAGGAAAAGCACCTCAGAAAAGTGCCTCAAAGCGCCTCAGGGCGTAAGCCTTGAATTTTGAGGCGTAAGCCTCTTGTCCTGAAAAAAATCTAAGCCTCAAAACCTTTTCTGTACGCCTCACCTTGAGGCGCGCCTCATAACCGCCTCTTAAGTGCCTTTTTAAACCATGAGTACCATCTTCTAATTTCTAAGTCATCTTTGAAATGTGATTCCATACTGTGGATTATATACAAGTAATGTCTTGAAGGAAGGCACATTTGTTATTTTCAGTTTTTTTTGTGTATCCCAAATATATAAATGCATCTTTGTCCATAATAATTTGTTTAATTCAGGGGTAACACAACCCAATGATTGTAGTGATGCTCAAGCCCTTCTAGGCGATAACTCTGATCGGTCTCAGAATGATCAAGATGAAAAGGAAGACACTGCAAGTCCCATCAAAGATCTTTCTAATCTTACAGGAAGAGAGAAAAAGCTGCATGAATTGAGGTTAAAGATGGTAAGAGTACACCCCCACATTTTTTTAATATGTGGTTTGGAAAATCTCAAAATATAGTGTTTGTTTATTGTTATTATTGTTGGATCACCTTGCACAGAATGCCGCACAAAAAGCAAATCAATCTGCTTTAGTGGAGGAGAATAGAAAAACAGAAGCCCCAGAAGAATCTAGAGGCATGTCCAAGAAAAAATGGCTCGAGGAGAGGAAGAAGAAACTTGGGAAGTTGCTGGACGCAAATGGTCTTGTTATGAGTAAGGCATACATGCTTGATACACAAGAGTCTGCTGAGGCGAAGTATAAGAAGTGGGAAAAGGAACCTGCCCCGGCTGGTTGGGATGGTATACATCACTATCTTCACTTAAATAAATAACTTAAATGACAAACCATTGTTAAATATATGATCTGTAGTCATATGAACCTTCCTGCTCATTCAATACAAATATACTTACACTCCATAAGTCTGACTGTAAGATATTTGCATAATGTATTGGGGTTTGGTTTGTCTGACTTCATGGTGGGTGCTTCAAGCATGACTTTGTATTAATTTCTTTACAGGTTTCCATGCTTTATCTGCTGTTTTGCAGAAGTCCCCCCCCCCCCCCCCGGGTAAATAATTATGAACGTTTGATTCACTAGAAGTTTACTTTTTGGTTCCTTCTGTTTTGCAGTTTTTAATCAGAAAACGCTTTATAACGCACACAAGAAAAGAACAAAGAACATCGAGGTTGACTTTGAAGAGTACAATAAAATGAAAGAGGTTGATCCAGAGTTTTATAGAGAAGCTTCAAGTCTTCAATATGGAAAGGTACCTATTTTTTTAAATAGGTTATTTAAAGCATGTTTGATTCAAATGTCGGGATGGGAATCCGAAATATACCCATCAGAATGGGTTCTTGGACTTTTACAACTATGGATTATTTGTTCATTGGGAAAAGAAAATGTGATGAATAGAAGGAAAAAAAGTCCTCGATTGGTTGGGTTGGTACTTGGTAGGAATGAAGATGTTGGAACTCGGAAGTGATCATTATATTGCTTGGTTAATCATAATAAGTGTACCTATTGTTTTATCATTTATTCTATTTTGTACCAAAAGGTGAATGGTGATAAAGAATAAGATGTCACGTAACCCCAGCCAAATCTGTTCAAATCCCACCTCAAGTCATTTATCCTATCCTTGTATGTTTTTTTTATAATGATAAAAATTGTCTGTATGGAAAGATGAATGTCTCTAAAACTCCCAAATCAATGTGCAGTGGTTTGTTCTGAATTTATCACTTATGCTTTTACCTTCTTGATTTGAGCAGGCACCAAAAGTCTCTGATGATAGGATTGAGAGGATGGTGAAAGAACTCAAGGACAAAGAGGAGAAGCGGAAATCATTCAGTAGGAGGAGAAGGTATCGTGAAGAGAAGGATATTGACTCTATCAATGATCGTAATGAGCATTTTAATAAAAAGATCGAGCGAGCTTTTGGAAAATATACCCTGGAGATCAAGAACAACTTGGAGAGAGGGACTGCTTTGCCTGACTGAGGTTGCAGTTGTTATGAACTTATGATTACCTTAAGCGAGATCACTATGCAGCAATTCTTCATATACTGAAATCTGGTCTAACATTTTTTATCTGTTATTGATGTATAAGTTCTGGTTTGATAATATGCACGTGTATGCTAATTTGGAAAGGCTTGTTAGAATGGGAGAACCGTTTCGTGTACCGTTTTGTGGCATCAATGTTTGAAGCTTCCCTCCACCTGAGTTCAAACTTTCTGTGGTATTCTGTACAATTTCCCCTACCACCCATTCTTATTTACCTATGTTTATTAATTGATCAGTGCACTTGATTTCAACCACTCAAAAATGTGTTTCTCGAAATGTGATACCTGGGGTTTCAATTCCCTTTTCTTGACTTGAATTTGTGTTTGGTACGGACTAGGTCAGGAGTTCGATACTCCATAAAAGATAAGGCCTAACGGTGAAGTGAGTTTAGATGATTAGGGCTTTGACGCTTTGTTTGGTAATATTAGATATTGACCCGGTCAGGTCCTGGTTCCGGACTTCCAGGCTGAGATCGCCCAGTCCAAAAAAATTGTCCAGCCCGGGCCTGATCCGTGAATTCCAAATCTGGGGTGGTTCTGGGTCCTAGGCAGTCCCGATCCTGGACCCATTACATTATGGAAAATCAAACAAATAATGAAAAGCGTTAAAATAAAATTAATAATTTCTAGGGAGTATATTTTTAAAATTTTTCAAGAGCTTGTTGCCTTGTTTCTATGTTGGACAGAGATGATATAATTGTACAAAAAATCAAAATGTATAATATACAACAGGCAATCCGTTTAGAAGGATACATAATCAGATGTCAAAACACTTCCAATTGTCTACACAGGCAATGTACATATTTTGTATACATTTTGTATATACCAAGAATGACCCTAATAAAAAATACACAAACTCGTTCAAAATGTTACATTGCTTCTTTAATTGCATGATTCGAATACACGTATTTTGTGTAATTCTCGTTTGCATATTAGTTATGACTTTATTATTTGCATACAACCTTCGTCTCTATTTGTTTTGCAAAGTAAATATTTTTTTAAATCAATGTTAAAGTTGAATCACCCATTTATAATTAAGGGAAAATTGAAACTAACAATTCAACCTTTTAACGGACTTCTTACGATAGTCTCACTTTATCGTAAATTTGGAATAATCCAATCTTTGCACTCATCTTCATTCGCTGGTCCCTGGCCGATTGATGATTTGTTATTCAAGGTTTTTTCATTTTCTTTGTAAATCATTCAACCATAAATCTCACCTTTCACAAATCTTCTCCAAGTGGTCCCACATATCATTTTTTGTTTTTCTTCCTAAAACTTTTCCCTTTTTATTTTTACCATCTTGACTCTTTTATTCTCCTTTTTGGTCTTCTTTTTCTTCCCGTTTATTATTTTATTTTCATTTATATATATATATATATATATATATATATATATATATATATATATATATATATATTGATTAGTTTCTTTATAAAAGATCTCTTTTCTCACCGTACTAACTTTTTACTTTACATATTTTTACTTACACTTATTTATTTCTTTTGAAAAAATATTGCCAGAATAGGACTAAAACTAAACTAATCCCTCAATGCACAAATAGGACTTTGTTATTTATCTTCCCAAAATAGAACTAAAGTACCATGTATCTTCTTTCTACATTTCTACGCTTACCATAACTTAATATAGGATAATCATATTTTACATTGTAATAAAAAATCAAGTATTTCAATTTATTAAAAAATAATAGTAACAAAATAAAATAAAAGTTAAAACTATTTTTAAAAAATAAAAAAATAATAAACAGTGATAAAAAATAATTTAAACAAAACTTTAAAAGTAAATAAAACTAGATAAAACACATTAAAAATATAAAAAAATGTGAGGCCTTTCCCGTCGTCTCGCCACCTCCCAACAATGTCTAACTCCGGTTGGGGGGGGGGGATGTCATATGTACCCACTGCAATTTTTCTCTAATAATGTCATGAATAAGACATTTTTACTCTTTAAAAATGCCCACATTTTCTAAAAAATAATCTTCAACTTGGAATTACTAACATGTGTTGGCACTTTTTCGGTGGTCGGACCTGGTGGTATTGGGAGGTCGTTGAAGCGGCAACAAATGCTTGCATATTGTTTTTTTCTTTTGTATTTTTTATTTTAAGTTTTTGAGTTTTTAATTTTATAGTTTTCATTTTTCTAATTTGTTAGTTTTATTATTTTTTATTTAATATTTATTTTTCATTTTTTTTTAATTTTTCTAAATTTTTATTATAACAAGAATGTAGAAAAATAAAGGAAAAAAGTTTTAGGGAGAAAAGAGAAAAATTATTTGCGGGACCGCTTAGAGAAAATTTGTGAAAAGTGGAATTTATGGTTGAATGATTTGCAAAAAAAAAAAAACTGAAATAACAAGTCATCAACCGGTTAGGGACCAGCGAATGAAGATGGGGTGCAAAGGTTGAATTATTTTTGAATTACGGGAAGGTAGGACTATTGAATTATTAGTTTCCACTAAAAGGTTGAATTATTAGTTTCCATTTACCCTATAACTAATTCAATTTTAATAATTAAAATTTTCATATTCAAAAACTACATCAAAATCTCTATAAAGTTACAAAACCACAATTTAAATTAAATTAAGCATCAACATCCTAATTAAGTGAATAAAATAAACTATTTGACCCATACAGGATTGTAGGGGGGCTTCGTAAGAGAGAGGAGCAGCAATGGCATGGGAAACCCTAGCCGCCGCCTCCTTTTCTCTTCTTTTATTCTCTTCTTTCAATCTTTGATAAGTCCGTATTTAGACACACATTTGATGCGTGTTGAGATCGGATTTTGATAGTTTTTCTAGCTTTAAGGTGTTACAAGTCTCAATTTTAGCTCAAGTTATGTTTACCAGGCGTTGGTTCGAGTTTTGTGTCATTTGGAGTCAAAATCAGGAAGTTAGAGTTCGGCACCGGCGCTTGAGGAGCAACCGGGATGATTCGAGATGCATTCGAGAGTGGATTGAGAGATTTGGAACTCCCTGGGAGGTTTACGATGAAGATTGATGACAAAAGTGCTCTAGAATTGGTTATGAGATCAAAAGAAGATGAATAAAGCTTGAAAACGACATTCAGGATGATCGTTTGTCAATCATTCAAGCATATCTCTTTGTAGAAGCATCCAAAGAATACGATTCAAAGTCCACATGAAAGCTAACGTCAAGAGATACAAATCATATAAAGACATTATTCCGAGAATCTGAGAGGAAGAAGATGAAAATAGACGATGAAGTCAGATGATCCCTGCTGCGATTTCAGAATGAGACCTTCCAGCATTTTAATCATATCTCTTGATTGGATGATCCAAATCCAATTCGGCAAGTTGTGGTGGATAGAGGACTTCATTATCTACAACTTGCATGAAGAAAGTTTTGTCAAATTCGGAAGTTTGACGCACGCCGTGCGTAGGGGAACGCACGACCGTGCGTCTGAAGGCGAAAAAGCAAGTAAGACACTGCCAACAACGCACGACCGTGTGTAGGGGGAACGCACGCCGTGCGTAGCCCCGGGTTACGCGAAATTGAATCCCAAATCGGTCCGAATTCATATTTTTCCATCTTTTTCTATAAATAAGGTCTCCCTAACCCTTTTTGGGGGTTACGAACATTACAGAGAGGCCTAGGGACGAAATTACTTGCGTTTTTACGCTATTTTCTTCCAAGACCCTGAGATTATTTGTAAGTTCATCTTTTTAATTAATGACAATTATTTCTAATCATTCCAATTTTGTTGATTCTTCAATTATGAATTGTGAGTAGTTTAATTAGGGGTTTGGGATTGATGAAGGGGTTAATCATGATGTATGGCTAGTTTCTTGTCGGTTTAATTGCATGAATACCGTTTAATTTGTGTTTGAATAATTTAACTGATATCTCTTGTAACCTAGAATCGCGACTAGAATTAAAATTGCATGTAGAATAAATTAAGAGAGATCTAATTTGTTCTAGGACACATTCACACACACTTAATCGTTCGCTAAGAGATTAGTAGCGATTAAGGGGCCGTAAGCTCGCTCGTCTTGGCAATAATTTAGGATCTTGTCGCATGAGAGATCAGCCTAGTCCCCTAAATTATTGTACTCTATGCCGCGAGAGTGGTAAGAACTTAGTAATGATTAGCTAGGCTCAATTAAATTAATTTCATGTAATTAGGCCTGATCTGCCAGAAATCTGGTTACCCCGGAATCAATCCTTGTTCCCTTTGTCGTTAATTAGAAAGAAACCAAGCTTTTATTTTATCGTTCAACTGCATTAGTTTAAGTTTAATTCACCAATCAATTTCGCACAATTGCATTTTATTTAATTTATTTTCTTTTTAATCGCTGAATTTAATTAATTCTTGATTCCCTTTTGTCCGTCCCTGTGGAGACGATACTCGTACTTACACCACTATATTACAATCTATTAAGTGCGAGAAAACTCACATTAATCTTCTTTGATTTCAATAATAGAAAACATCTTCTTAATCAGTGTTTTCAGTTTTATTCATATGTTTCTTTCCCAATGTTGTTTGAAGGTATTATTTTCGGTAGCGAAATATCGTCTGCCAGATTCATATTCCCTCGCCACTTTTGGTCGGGTGTTCTTGTGTGCTCAGAAGAGATTTGCATTGATCTTCATTAGTGATGGACCCGGTTCGGGCCACCTGACCCGGGAACTGGCCTGGCCCGGTACTGTGTGGGCCCGGCCTTGCCCGGGAACCGGGTACCGGTTCCGAGTCATTGGCCCGGTTTAGGGAGGGTAGCGGGCCGGGGACGGGTATGGGGAAAATGGAACCGGCCCAGCCGGGTCCGGTTCGGGCTTAATTCTATTTTTTTTAATTTTCCGGGTTGGGCTGGGTATTTTGGGCCATTTGGGCTGGTTTGGGGGGGGGTGGGGGGGGTCGGGGGTTAATTAGAAAAAGCAAAAAAAAAATATATATATATATAAAGGCCCGGACCGGACCGGACCGGACCTGGTGGATACCCGGGCCGGTCCCGGGCCCAACCCCAAATCCCAGAAAGCCCGCCAGGCCTAGGCCCGACCCGGGCCCAACCCGGCCCGAATCCAACCCTAATCTTCATCATTCAAAAACATGATTTTCTTCTGCGCCGATATTGAGATGGATCGCCCCCCTTCGGGATCACCGGCGTTCCAGGAAGATGAGATCATTTGGTTTTCTTTCTTCTCGGTGACTGGTGACACCGGAACAAATTCTACAATTGGCTCCTTACCGGTGGCTGGAGAAACCGAGAAACCAGGATGTTTAAGGGGGGTGTATTCAATATGGATTGTGGTGGACTTTTTTTTAATCCATGGACTTCTAAAAAAGTCTATGGACTTTTAAAAAAGTCTATGGACTTTTAAAAAAGTCTATGGACTTTTAAATTCATAGACTTTTAATCCGCTGACTTTTAAATCTGTAGACTTTTAAATGAGAGACTTCTATGGATTTCAATAAATCCATAGACTTTTACTTGGACTTATTTCAGACCAGATCCATCTAGATCAGACTTTAACAAAGCAAATCAAACTTTAATAAATAAGAATCGCTACATAGAAAATATGACAAATAATGTCAAATATAATAGCTAATGTTCTCTATTCCGAATGAGGTCAAGCATAAGCATTAAAAAATTATAAGAAAAAAAAATAAAGTCATCAATGCACAAAATGGGAACAAACGTCTTGTGCTACTAAGAATCAACTTCTTTGCGGGATTAGCAATTCGGCATTTTCGATTATAATCGTCCATTTCTATGTATCAACCCATTGTAGCCTTGAGCTTTATGATTGTAATGTTTCTTGTCATCTTCATTAATAAAAATTAAGTTCCGGAGTATTTGTTTTCAAAAAAAGAAAAAACTATTTGATCCAAAAAAGTCAAATTTGCAAATCAATTTGAGGTCAAAAGTCAAATTTGCAAATCTATCTCAAATTGATTTGCAAATTTGGCTTTAGGATTAGGCTCACATGCGTGGGATCTTATCGTGAAAGAATCCATGGTGCTAGAAGAGCACCATTTCCTATGATATTCTCAAATCCCATGCATAAAAATCACAGAACTCTTCTCCATTTAATAAATACTAATGGCTCGACATTGCAGCCATTGCTACCTCTTAATGAGTTATATGTGTAACTTAATTGAACGAGAGCAAGGTTCAGATTAGTCACTTGATATGTCATGGAAATTATGTCTTTTGACGGGTTGAATTATTTTCTTTCATCTTTATTGTCTCTATATCAACAGACTTTGTGCTCTTGGGGCTTGTCATTAGGGTCATGCCGGGTCTCATTAAGAGCAACTTAATGCCCTAAACTATGCAGCAATTCACTGTTATACTAATCTAATCAAGCACTCATGTGGAACATATGAGCAGAATACAACATTGCAGAACTAAGATTTAGTTTGTTATGCATTATTCGACCATACACTGCCATACATAGATTACAGTTTGATTTTGATTTGGAAGATACATAACTCTAAATAAAGCACTAATACCTGCTTATGAAGCTAAATTGTCTACATAGTTAAACAACAGTCCCTCGACAGTGAAACTGAGTAAGAAATCTTCTCTATGCATTGTTGTCTTCAATTTGTGATCATTTACTGCGCCACTAGTTCTTACTTTCCAATTTCAAGGGTACCATTACATATCCTGACTTCTCTAGGGGTTTTCTTCATCCGATTGAGCTCCTGTTGATCCAGGGATGGAATCAGCGAAGAACTCGTCCACTACAACAAACCCAAATAGACAAAATCAGGTCAGTTGAAATCCGCATAAGAAGCCTTGTGGGAGCTACTTTTGATATGCCCTACTACTGAATCTTATGCAGGGTTCATGGTGATGTTTATATCCAACTCTAACCAACATGGAGACCCAAGTAGTAAAGACATACTACCTCAGTCCCAAAATACTTAGCTAAATCTTAAAATTTGGATCATGGTTTTGAGTAGTATAATATTATAAAAGTTGTAAATTTTATACTTTTATGAAAGTACTTTTAATATAGAACATTTTCAAATCTTTTTTATATTATACTCCCTCCGTCCCACTAAGATTGTCTCATTTTACCTTTTCGGGAAGTCCCACTAAGATTGTCCCATATCAAATTTGGTAAAGTTTGTGTTGCTCTAAACTATTCTTACTTTATTCTTACTTTATCAATTTAATATCAACCACACAAATCCACTTTTCTTAATAATCATGCCACCTTCTCTTGTCTCAATCTCAGTGGGACGGAGGTAGTAAACAATTTCCAATATATATATATATATATATATATATATATATATAATTAATCAAAGTTTTGAATTTGGCTGAGTATTTTGGGACGGAGTTAGTACTACATAGACTCTTCGTTTTGTTGTTCAAAAAGTATAAAAAATCATATGCAAGAATGGAACAATTCTCACCTAAGCCATCTTGCTCTGGAGAATCAAGTAAAATATCTGAATCAGAATGCAAAAAGGGTGAGCCACTGTCATTTCCAAGGGTTCCTAGATCTGTTATCAGTATCAGGTAACAGTTAGCACATTAGAAATAAACTTAACAAAATCAAACCAGGCACTTAAAACCTTTAGAAGTCCACTTGACCTAACAGATTTGTTCTTGCTGAAGAGAGTGCATGATGATAAGGTATTTCAGATAAAATAGAGAATTTTACAGAGACCTCACATTTCGATGTGAACTAAGGCATTTCTATAGGTATTTAAATTTTTAAAAAGAACGGCCATCACTATGGGCACTATGTGCTGTTTATAAATGACCTTACAAATTAGTCATATGAAAGTATCTTCAAGACTATGTCTGGAACCCGCAAATTAGAAAGGAAAGGAAAAATTGGCAACACAAATAGTTTTTTGGGTGGGGGGACCTCAGCTAACACGAAAGGAAATCAAATTTAATAACTTTTAAGATTCTACATATGTTCAGGTTTCTTAATCTTTAAATAATTCAACTATACAAATATAATGAGTTCAAACAAGTGTCTAAACTTTATTTATTGAGTTTGAAACTTATTGAAATTCCCCTAAAATTTCTTTCCTTTCAAATTTGCCTTCATATTTATTTTTTATTTTCTTTCCCTAGCATTTTCTGGGTTACGAGATGACTCTAAAGTTTCTTCTAAATTACCTCCCAAATTTGGTAAATCTGCTGTTAGGTCTGACAGACTGAAGTTCCAAGGAATCTGCGCTAAGGATCTGAGAAAATCTCTAGAATTTCCAGCTCCATTATCAGTAGGGAGATGTAGTCCAACTGAGCTAGCATCAGATGCAAATGCTGTGTCAAGGGCAGATGTGTCTACTTCCATCCCAGATATCTCTGATGCAGTAAAGGGAAAATGACCACCGGAGGCAGCCGCTTGTGCGGGAGGGCTGCTTACAGGCATATCTGGAATTGATGAAACAACATTGCTTGGTGGAGTGGCTGATGCCGGAGCGACTGATGCAGATACATCTGACGCACTCGTTTCAATTACCATACTGCAATAAAGAGAAAAATAAAGAACGTCATTTGTGGTCAGATATATATTATGTTCAAAACAAGCCTTTATTTGTTCACATAAACCCTGGAAAATAATTTCTGGTTTTCATGTCTTCCATTCAGGAAAATAAGTTTTTCAGGATTTTGGCAAAGGAAAAGAAGGAAAGATCTCTTTATCCTTGATACTTGTGGAAAATGACTTCATGTTTTCAAACATTATAGGGAAAAACTATCAAATAGGTCCTCTTACTATATCAAAAACGTCAATTGAGTTCTTGTACTTTAAAATCATTCAATTGTATCCTCCAACTCTTATAAAATGTTCAATTCAACGATTTAACCGGTAAACAACAATTTCCCCGGTTCATAGCTTACGTTGACTGCCTACGTGGCTTTCTTTAAATGTTTTTTTATTTTTTGGTTTATCCTTTCCAAGTTTTACCCCCCGTTTCTTTTTCATTGATTGTTTCTTTTTCTGCTCGCAAGGTTCTTCTGCACCTGCCATGGCCTGCAACTTCACTTGCAAAATGCTCTGTGACTGTGTCCACTTTCATCCTTCCTCCTCCATTCTCTCTCCCAGTTTACTCTCTTCTTCATGGACTTTGTTTAGCGGCAATCTTCGTCTTCAGCGTCATTCCAAGCCCTACCGTCGTTGCTTGTCTGCTTCGCCGTATGGATTTCTTCGCTGGGATGCTCCTCTGACTCGTCCCCTTTTTCAAGTCCGAGCTTTGCCTTCCCGATTGTACTGTACCCCTTCTTCTTCTATCAAATCAGAGGGATGGTGATGAAGAAGTCTCCTGCCCTCATACGTTTTCCAATCCAAGTGAAACATGATGTTGATGAAGTTCTGTTCCATGGAAGAAAACTACAGAGCGAGAAAGATGTGTGTCAAAATTGGAGATGTAGGTGGTCTGGAGGAGATGCGTGTGGGGAAGATGAACAGTGGTAGGGATTTAAGTTGACTAGTCTCTACATGGGCATACACACCGGTGGCAACCGGTAAATGGGAGAAGTAACCGGTTAAAGGGGAAAATTGGGTGTTTTTTTCTAGTTCAGGGATTTGATTGAGTGTTTTAATAGTACGAGGACTTAATTGACTTTTTCTCAATAGTACAAGGACCTATTTGACAGTTTTCCCAACATTATATTATACATGGCAACAAGTCAACAACTTATTTTCTAGGAACTATTTTCCTGCAAAACATCTGCCACGACAAGTTATTTACATCTACCACGACAAGTTATTTTTGTATAAACAAGCCGAGCCTAATGATGCAATTGAAAATTGGGTAAATCTGGAGATATGTTTACTTTGAAAAGATGGCCACACAATTATTTTGTATTTGAAGCTCTGAGACAAGTGTCATATTTTAGCAGCATCTCGCCATCTCCTGATTCTAAACTATGTCAAATCAAACAATTTTCAAATGTTCTTGCGTCTAAACAGATGGCTATAGGCTATGCATGATGAGTAGCTGATGACTACAAGTAATGAAACATGTAGATGCTCAAGAAAAGAATAAGGAAAGATAAACCACACAATAACAGAAAAAAACAGCACTAATGGATCAATTATTGATGAAGTCAAAACCAAAGGCGGCATGGACACTAGAGTCTTACTCATTTACAGAATTCATCTGCATCGGATGAAAGTTGCTAGGTGCAGGTATCCCATTGACCACATGGCAGCTTGATAAGCCCATTGAATCCATATGAGGTTGACCTGTAGCAGGAACTGGCGGTTGTTGCAAGACAGGATAACCCATGGGTAAATTGTTGACTGCACTGAAAAGAAGAGTTACTGACTTACTAAATAAATAACTACTCCCTCCATCCCATTTTATAAGATGTCTTTACTATTCACTTGGTCAACACAAATCACTCTTAATCTCTTACTTTATATATCAAAATTTTATGTAATTTTATGTAGTTTCTAAACATACATGTTTTACTAACCAATATTGCAAAAAATATGTGAATAATTTTTGTCCTGCCTCGAAGCCTAAAGACGCACAAAATGGGATAGGAGTATGTCACATGTCATGTTTACATTCACACACCTGAGGCGTACACACAAGATACTACAATACTAACTTCACTACAATAAAAAGGATACATCTTTCATTGATACTACAAATTTATACTCCCTCCGTTCCACAATGAAAGGTATGGGAAAGTTATTAATTAAGTTACTAATACCTTAGATTTTTGGAAATGAATAGTTAGCAAGGGGAATGGCAAATGAAAAAATTAAAAGCACATCAAATATAGAAACTGGACTAGCTTGGAAGACAGACCAAAATAGGATACAAGTCTATCGTGGGAGGGAGTAGCAAATACTACCTCTCTTCACTTCTTGCTCCAATGATCTTTTCAGATTTTAAGAGTAAAAATTGTAGGCATATTGATAGTGTAGAACCCTAAAGAAAGTAGGGTAGAGATGATGATAAATTAAGGTCATTTACAACATTTGATAAGATGATATTCAGGACCAGTCCTGGGGAATGGGCAACGGGCATGCTCCCAAGGACCATTGCTCCATTAGGGCCTATAGTTTCCTCACTTATATATGCATATATCATCATCATTACCCCAGTGCCGCAAAGGCTCCCACCTATGCTGGGGTAAGGGGGGTCGGATGTACGCAGCTGTAGCACAGAGATTGTTTCTGGATGACCCATAATGTATATATATGCATGTGTGTGTGTATTAAAAAGTTAAGCAACAAGTTCAGACGTATAATTTCTTGAAACTTCTGTTCTTAGACAACATCTACACGCTTTAAGTCTAAAATTTCAAAACTTCCACAACAGAGTTCTTCACGAAGACTCAAGCATTTTTTTCACATTCAACAAGGGCCTCTAATGTGTAACTGTAAACTTTTTGTTCGGCTTTTCTCATATTTAACCATGACTCATTGATAATATTTTGCTAATTTTCTTTGGTTCATCAATGTGATTGAAAAGGTATACTCCTATATTCAGATTTTAGAAATTTTAGTTTACTAAAAATGTGATCATTTTAGTTTACTAAAAATGTGAATTGCAATCGCACTAATTTGTTCCATTCGATTTAGGTATGTGGCATCCCCGAATGTCATTTATCAAATACTTAAATTTAATTTTTTTAAGGGGGAATTTGACTTTGCACCCCACATTTGGGATGAAATTGGACTTTGCACCCCATTTCAAAAAAACTTTGATTTTGCACCCCATTTCACTTCAAAATCCTTTGACTTTGCACCCCATTTTGAAATTTTCCTTCACAAATTTTAGATGATAGGGTGCAAAGTCAAATGTTTTTTAAAATGGGGTGCAAAGTCCAATATCACCCAAAAAGTGGGGTGCAAAGTCAAATTCCCCATTTCAAATGTTTTTTTAACCATCTATGTTTATTAGTTTCTTTGAGGCCTTGTATCTGTATTTCGATGATTTATGTATTGAATTTATGTTAATTTTCTGCATCAATTTTTGTTTTTTATGATAAAAAATTGTTATATACATTTACATAGTATAACCCTAAGGCCTTCTCTTTTTGTGATGTCCCGGTGCTATAAAGTGTCAAGACAAGGGCTGATCGTATTTACCATGAATGAAAACTGGAGCAAGTAATAAAGTACTTATAATGGAATAATGAAGCAAGTATAACACATATGGTAAATATATTACAGAGTAATTTTAAAATATATGTTTGAAACACATGATGACATGAGTATGAAAATGTAAAGTTAAACAAACTGAGAAACTAATGACCATTTTTTGTAGTTACCAACCTAAGTATTAATTCATCAAGAATTGTAAATTTCCAAAACAAAAGTAAAAAAAAAAAACTTAAGGTTGAATAGATTTGATTGTGTGAGCTTGGTCTCTATCTTTATGTAGTTTCCGTCCCAAATAAAATTAAAAAAAATTGTTAATAGTACTCATTTCAATATAAAAAATTTACTCTTTTTGTAGTGACGGACAAATTAATATACGGGTTCAAAGACACGCATGTCGGCACGCATGGAGGAGAGCAATTATGCTCAATCTAATACTGTTCTCTAAAATGAAATTGCTATGCTGGTCGAAGTGAAGACCACGAGATGAGTTCATTTCGTACCCTACACTTTTTGCTTATCAATCAGTTTCTTACCAAACACCTACTTAGTTAAATTCATTTTTCAACTCGAAGTATGATTTAGAAAAAGCATGCAAAAGTTTGTTTTTGGCTGAACTGAAGATGCATGACACTTCACTGTGACATTTTACTTTGTTAGTATTTTTTTGCATAATTCAGTCCAATCATTTCATTCATCCATGAGTTACACATGCTTGTGCATTTAACATATCATATACAATATGAATAGACCATCCACGAGCGCAATAAAAGGATTCAAAATATTACAATGTTTGGCAGAATACTACAACAACATTCATGAGCGCATTTTGTTTATTTTTTTCCCAAACGAAACACAAAATGAACAAATTGGGTTAGGACTTGGGAGAATTCCACAAGAGATGCCTATGTAATTCAAGTAATCATGCATACAGTTGCAATGATCATTTAGCGGATAATAATAACTTGAATTTACCTGCCATGGGGTGAATACCATTCTGCAATGGAGCTAGTGGAACCTTGGGGGGTATAGGATATTTCATTAGATGATATTGATGCTCAAGCAAGTGATTGAACAATATAATATGTCTCTTCAGTTTTAGTCGTATGTAGTAGGCCCGAAAAAAATCAGCATTTTCTTCTTCTAACTTTTGCCACACTGTACGTAGTAGAAGAATATATATATTAAACTTCAAAATCAAAAGCCTAATGAGAAATTTATCTGGTCATCTAAAGCCATAGTCAAGTGTTCACGTGATAATAGTTATGGTGATAAGACAGTGAAAATATATTTGGAGGCAAGGCAGGGCACACTAGCAACCAACCATGATGTTCTTGTAGTAGCATATTTAACTTATGTAATAATATTTACCTAGAGTTGTGAATCCAGGGTCTATCCTTGCCCGGTTTAGAAGTGTTTTCACTACTTCTTCTCTATTCATATACAGCTGCAAACACCTCTCGATCAAGTTTTGAACCTAAGCCAACAAAAGTTGCCATAGATAATCATATGCAAGAGTTTCTACAAGATGTCAAACCATAGTAGAAAGAAAAGTTACAGGGAATCTAATATCTTACTAGTTCAATATCCTCACGTGAAACTTTCCTATTCTCATTTCCAGATGCAGACACTGACATAGAATCTGCATCAGGATTCTCTGTTGTATTGTTCGGTTGATCATTTTGGGAATCATGGGAGACCTGTGTTGAAGGTTGTTTTTCTTGTGACTTTTGTAAGTCCTGCAAATTCTTAACAAAATGTCTCAACATGTCATCAGCCACCTTATTCCAACAAGTTGGGGTCAGTGGCAAGAAATTCACAGTGCCAATTAAAATTTGTTAACTCTATAGACATAACAGGAAAAAAATGACAAACCAGATAATTGCTTATGGAAATAAAAAATATCATGGAAAAATTATGCATTCCTTTGCAATTTTGCATGTAGGAAAAAGATTGCATTACGTGAATACGTGTTAACAGGAATGATTAAAAACGAAACTTTTAGAAGTGTGAAGGAAAAAACCTGTGAAGTCTTCATTTCAGACTAGTGAAAGTACATTAAATATCTCTTTGAATCTTCAGCAACTCAGAGCAACAGGACAGATAGTGCTTCGTTTTGAATCTCCCCTCTATTAAACGCAAGGCACTCGAAAGTAATTTAACCTGAAAGGACGAAATAAATGGGATCCAGCAAAGAGTCAGGCAAGGACCAAGGAGGTCAAGCCCATAAAACTTCAGATACAGAAGGCGTGATTTTGGTCTAAGAAATAAGCAGCCATCTCACTTTGGCTAATAGACCCATCAGATTGTGTTCTTAGTAAAAATAATGCTTAAAAAAACCTTTTGTTCAGAAGGATAAAAAATGGTTAAATTGAAAACAGCCCCCATCTAATATGAAATTCACATAAAGCTGAAACTTTTAGGTGGTAAAACATGCAATCAAATCTAATTTATTTCACGAAAGGTGGTTCGCCAATTGCCATATTGTACTTTTCATTTACTTAAATATTCAAGACATTCAAAGTATATGTTCCCCAGCCACATAAATGCAAGATCAAGGATCTCTTGAAGCAGCAGTCTCATAGAAAACCATCTAAATATTATGAGCCCATCGTAACACTAAAATTGGCCAAATCTTGTAAAACTTAAAATTGATGCAAGTTATGGCCGCAATGGTTCATCATCATCATCATCATCACCCCAGTGCCACAAAGGCTCCCACCTACGGTGGGGTAGGGGGGGTCGAATGTACGCAGCCTTACCCCTGTACTAAAGCAGGGAGAGACTGTTTCCGGATGACCCATGATGAAAATTGCCTCTAGAATGGCCGGAATGGTGGAACGGCTGAAATATATATGTGTGTGTGCGCGCACATGTGTTTGTGTATTTATGTATATGTATGTGTATGTATATATATATATATATATATATAATTATAAATGAATTGCATGAGCGAAAAACTGAAATGATCGTCATCAATCAATTGATCCTGTTCAGCCAATAAAGTACCACTAGCCTTACTTACCCTGGGGGGAGCCTGGAGTAATCAGGGCTGAAACTCACTCCATTGAGTTTCACACCCTTATGTGCCTAGCGGGATTTGAAAGGCACGGTAACTTCGCAACCAGCTAGGCTGGAGTACTTGGTTCACTAGCCTTACTTATATCATTATTAACCAATTCAGCGTGTGACATCAAAAAATTAGTGATTGGTAAAAAACTTGGTTGATTAGCCAAAAATACCGAGTTACCAAACTAACACTATATGTTGCATTTCATCTAATTTGAGATTGCAACTGATGGAATAAACTCCGTATACTTGTTGATAGATATAGAGGTTGGACAACCTACGAAGCCATCATGCCTTCAGGTGTTGCTTTAAGCTAACACTTCATTGCATCAAAGATCTCTAGAAATGAAAAGAAAAAAACTTCCCATGTTAGCCCAGCTCTCTTTCTAACATGAAAGGGACAAACACCTAATAAGAAGAAAACATCTAATTATGATTTATGACCATAAAAGCAAAAAAAAAAAAATCAGCAAGGAGAAACAACCTTAAAATTTTGTGCCAAAGAATTTGTGGCATACATACCCATAATTCCTTAGACTCATCTCAGATGTTAATATCAACCATTTTACCCTCAAAAGGCTAATTTTAGATGAAAAAGAATATCCAGAACAAAACAAGATGCTCTACCGACAAGAATTTTGGAAAGGCAAGAAAGCTAGTTCCCATGCCCATCTCATCAGCTAGGCAAAAAACCTGAACTTAACCTCAACAGTTAAATAGTCTAAATGAAGCCTAATAACAAGATATTAGCAAGAAACTCAAACAGTTGAGTTCAAAACCAAAATAAAATGGATGCAGAGATTCATACGCGTGCACAAAGTGAGAGAAAGTCATATAGCCGGTGAGGTGTGGGCGGCGGAGGTAGCTGCACGAGTTGAAGAAAGTCAGAGGGGGAGATGAAAAATAGAGGGTTCTGCAAAATGCTAAGCTGTATTTAGCTAATAGAGTGAGAAAGGAATTGGAAAGGATTTTTTTTTTGCCATAAGTGACACTATAAACTTTAGTTTAAGGTAGGGTACATAGGATACCGATTAAGCTAGGTGAGATGGAAAATGAATCTAATTGAATCCAACTTAATTAACCTAATCTTGATGTTGACCTCCACTCTGAATGGAGTTTATTTTGTTGGTTTAAGCTTATATGTGTGCATAAAAATACAGATTATGAGCTCATACTTCATACTCAATGCGCAAGACGACACGAGTTACATGTTTATCTAAATTTGAATGTACTCGAAATATATCTTCAAAAGTTATAAATCTAAATTTACTACATGGTCATTCATTAAAGAAGTAAAAAGTACTATGTAGTTAAGAGTATAAAAAATGCTTTTTGTAGAAATTAAATTTTCACTCTTACACGGAACATAATTTAAATAATAATTATATTTGTCAAAATTATTAATGAGAAAATTGTCCATTTGTTCTTGTACTATCACCGAAAAGTCAATTAGGTCCTCGTACATTTAAAAAAACAATCAAATTCCCAAATTTTGTAAAAACGTTCAATTGAGTCCATTTGCAAGTTATTTACCATGGCAGCAGGTCACCCGCTGACATGGCACACATGTGGCGGCCCATTCAGCAGTGACTTTGCAAACGTGGCACACATCTCTTTAGCTTCCATATATTCATTCATAGTCATCTCCCTCGCTTGAGCTGTTGTTATTAGATGATGATAGCCGAAAGCCCGAAACGATCCGACTGCTTCCCAATTAGTACTCTTGGCAATGAACTGCAAGCTACAGACCTAGTTAAATGAGTGAAATGTGTGTTCGTGAAAGCTTTATCCGCTAGATGAGTGTCAAAGCTTCATAAATTCAATATAAAAATTCAATTTTGTTATTGTTGGGAATTTGACTTCTTCACTTGCTCCTGGCTGTCCCAGTTTGGCAGACTGAAACACGAGATTACTCAGGCTAAGAGCTTCATCCTTCCTCTCCGGCAGTTTGCGGCGGCATGGCGGTTCCTGGGTATCATCTTCTTTAGTTCTTCCATGGCAGCACTTTGTTCTAATCTTATTACCGCAGGTCCAAAACACTTGTGTCGCCAACACGGAGAAAGACCTGCAAAACATAACAAGAAACACCGTGGCTCGAGTCGCGTAAACGCTGTCCTCTGAAAGTATTTCCGGTGAACGGAAATCTTCCCCCAGGATTAAACGAGCCCTTCGACAAATAGTCGGAACCAGAACTACGAGGGAATTCATAATTATAATCCAACAAAGGCTTTTATAAGAAAGCATTTTTTAATGAAGGCTTTTTGTAAAGTTTGCAGGGAAGATGGTTTTTAGCAGAAGTGTTCGTGAGTCGTAATACAATGCACAGCTCTCGTTTTTTAATGGAAGGAAGAAGTGGAACAATAATATTGTTATTGATCCTAAAAAGTTGGAGATAAAAAAGCTCAGCCAAGTATTACTCCCTCAACCAAGATGCACGTTAGAAAACAATTGAGATAACCGACTCAGTCAATTAAGTGCTCGGTTATTAGATACTAATTAAAACAAAAGTTTTTATTTGAAATATATTAAATATTTCCAACAATCCCCCACATATTTCAAATAAAGATTTTGTGAAAACCATTTACAAAATTTGCTGGATTAAAGGAATGAGACTTTAAGTTTGGTGTCCGTAGACTATGAACCAAACCGAGACGATTAAGTCTTTATAAACCGAGCTTTTGGTGAAACGTATAGTTTCTATGAACCAAGAAGCTACTATGGTAAATCAGGGTCTTAATGGTCATGTCTCACCCCGCACAACTCCTCGCGTTAACGCCGTGGTGCGCATTTCGGCCGTGCGCGTGCCTGGTATTCGTGAGTGCTCTAGAAGCGTTGTCAAGGCTTCATGGAGGCGGCCCCACCTCACACTCATATAGGTGATCTCATCAAGTGTGTTCTGCACTTAACACACCACCCGTAAGGGCTATGAAAATCATTAAGAGTTTTAGCTCAGCCTCACAGCGAATGCAGTCTAGCCTTCCACACCATATAAAGGGACTTGTAAGAAGGCTAGCAGAACAAATAGAAGACTTGTTATTACCCATATGAACTTGCTTCATGGGATCTCCAATCACACAAGTTGGGTTACCATCCCTATTTGTAATCAAGTGACACAAGTCCCATTTCCCTCGAGGTTTCACTTATCATTTTTCGTCCTAGGGCTTTAGTCAAAGGATCCGCTAGATTTCCTTCTGACCTCACAAAATTAATGGAAATAATTCCATTCTTTAATAACCGTTTAATGACTTTATGTCTTAAACGAATGTGTCTATTCTTCCCATTATAACACATTTTCTTAGCAGTATTTATTGCACTTTGGCAATCACAAAGAATAGACACTGACGGTGTTGGTTTTGTACCAACCGGAATTTCTGCTAAGAAATTTTTCAACCACTCCGCCTCACTACTAGTCACTTCCAAAGCTATAAGCTCGGACTCCATAGTGGATCTAGAAATGAGAGATTGTTTAGTTGATTTCCACATAATAGCACCACCTCCAAGGGTGAATATATATCCAGTATTGGATTTAATCTCATCTGAGTCAGAGACCCAGTTAGCATCGCTGTATCCCTCTAGTACAGCGGGTAAACCTCTATAAAATATACCATAATTCATGGTACCTCTCAAATATCTCAATAACCGCCTCAACGCGGTCCAATGGTCCCCACTTGGGTTATGAGTATATCGGCTCAATCTTCCGACAGCATAAGCTATGTCGGGTCTCGTATAGTTCATTAAGTGTAATAAACTCCCAATTATTTGTGCATATTCATATTGAGCCTCAGGATCACCTCTATGCTTTTTCAAATGTGTACTAGAGTCATAAGGGATTATCACAGGTTTGACATCGAAATGTCCAAACTTCTTTAGAAGTTTTTCAGCATAGTGCTCTTGAGATAGTATAATACCATCATCCTTCCTTATGACTTTAATACCCAAAATCAGTTTTGCTTCACCCAAATCTTTCATATCAAATTTTGAAGCAAGAAATGATTTTGTCTCATTTATTAACTCAATGTTGCTGCTAAATATTAGCATGTCATCCACATACAAGCAAATAATAATGCACACACCATTTTTTATTATAGTGTATACACATTTATCTACTTCAAGTGAGGTAAAACCATGAGCTAATAATACTTCATCAAATTTTTCATTCCATTGTTTAGGAGCTTGTTTCAAACCATATAAAGATTTGACCAACTTACACACTTTGTGTTCCTGTCCAGAAACTACATGACCCTCCGGTTGCATCATATAAATTTCTTCCTCTAATTCACCATTTAAAAATGCCGTTTTAACATCCATTTGATGGATAAGAAGTTTGTGAATAGAAGCCAAGGCAATTAAAGTTCTAATGGAAGATATTCTCGTTACCGGTGCAAAAGTATCAAAATAATCAACATCTTGTTTTTGAGAAAAACCTTTTGCCACAAGCCTCGCTTTATATTTGTCAATAGAACCATCCGGATTAAATTTCTTTTTAAAAATCCATTTACATCCGATTGGTTTGCACCCTTTAGGCAATTCAGTTAAAATCCAAGTTTTATTTTTCTGAATAGATTCAATTTCATTTTGAATTGCCTCAAGCCAAAAAGGAGCCTCTTTTGATGAAATAGCTTGTGCATAAGTAAAAGGTTCATCATTAACAAGATATGTATAAAAATCATTTCCAAAAGATTTTTCTATCCTTGGCCTCTTACTTCTTCTCAAATTAGAGGGTTCATCATTAAAAGTATTATTTTCTTTTAATGGCTCACTTTCACGATATGGCACAACGGTCTTGTATTCTGGCTTTAAAGGAAACACACTCTCAAAAAATTCAGCATTTTTTGTTTCAATAATAGTATTGCAATTAAGCACATCACTTTTCAAAACAAGAAATCTATAAGCAGCACTACATTCAGCATAACCAATAAATATGCAATCAGATGTCTTAGAACCAATTTTCCTCTTCTTAGGATCAGGCAATAAGACTTTAGCCAAACACCCCCACACTTTCAAATATTTCAAATTAGGCGCATGACCTTTCCACAATTCATAGGGTGTTCTCTTATTATGCTTATAAGGAATTCTGTTTTGTAAGTGACAAGCAGAAAGAATAGCCTCCCCCCACAGATTATCAGGAGCACCAGAACTAATTAAAAGAGCATTCATCATCTCCTTTAATGTCCTATTTTTTCTTTCAGCTATTCCATTTGATTCGGGCGAATACGGGGGAGTTATCTCATGGATAATCCCTTCCCTCTCACAAAAATCATTTATTAAAATATATTCGCCCCCTCTATCCGATCTCACTCTCTTAATCTTCTTATTCAATTGATTTTCCACCTCGGATTTATACACTAAAAATTTATCAAAAGCCTCATCTTTACTTTTAAGCAAATAAACTTTAGTGTATCTCGAAAAATCATCAATAAAGGTGACATAAAATTTATTACCACCTCTTGTCATGGTATTTTTTAAATCACCCAAATCCGTGTGAATTAACTCAAGCAGTTCTGATTCCCTATGTGTGGTAGGACATGATTTTTTGGTTTGTTTTGATTCAACACAAATATCACATTTTTTTAGTGTCAATTTCTTTCCACTAGAAATCAAACCACGATCACGCAACAAATTGATATAAGAGTCACTCACATGTCCTAATCTTGCATGCCACACATCATATGAATCAATCAAATAAGAAGCATTTTCACGAATTAATTTCGGAATACTAAGCACATAACGTCCATTCTTACAATAGCCTTTGCCAACAAAAACATCATTTTTGGTCATAACAATTTTGTTACAATCAAAAGATACTTTAATCCCAGCTTTTACCAAGAGAGAAACAGAAACTAAATTAGTCCGAAACTCAGGCACATAAAGTACGTCATTTAGTGACAAAGTTTTCCCCGATGTGAGTTTAAGAAGAACTTTCCCTTTACCATGCACCTTTGCGGTTTTTGAGTCCGCTAGGTACACGAGCTCTTCATCATCTCCCATAGTAGTACTATAGGAGGTAAAAGCACTTTTG